AAATCACCATCACCAGTAATTAACACGATGACACTTTTATCTTTGTAAATTGAAACGAATTCATCAATCAACTCAATCAATTTAAGATCCGCTGCATCATCACCTTTTTTAACAAATTTAACACGTTCAATATGAATTGAGTTCTTGACCAGAACAGAAGTTTGTCTTTCACCAATGTCTTTAGCAAAAATACAATTAAATTTCACTTCATTTAGCTTTTTAGAGTTAATCAAATCACTTCTAACGAAATCTATTAGTTTTTGTACTTTTGCTGGACTTTTACTATATTTGGTATCTTTAATACCTTTAACATTTTCAATATCCCAAAAAATAGCAGTTGGTTTTTCAACACAGGATTCATCCAACTCACAAATAGACATTATTTTTGAAACAAATAATAACTCATTAATACAAAAGTAACAAATTTCATCAAATATATGATTACTGACTAATTATTGATAATATTTCTGAATCGGTGTTTTTTTTATCATAATCAACAGGAGTCTCTACTGCAAACACCCATTCTTTACATTTTTCTGTAATGCATGAGTTTATTGAGTCTAAAATTACCTTTCAATCAGAGCTATTAAATCCTCACAACTAATCTAAAAAAAAGGTTGGAGTGGCAAATTTAAATCGCGTAATTCTTGTTACGAGCGCTGATCCAATAGATTGATTCAATGAAATGACTGAAATATAACATAAAAGAAGCAAAATTTATTCTTCACTTGCAAAACAAGGAAATCCAAACATTCTACGATTGTACGAACGATAGTTATAAATATGAGTACAAATATAAGATAGAAACTAAAATCACACAAAATTCAGGTCACTGATGTGCCGTCAATTACACGGCAGTTGTATTAAAGAGTAGCGAAAATTGTTTCTAGTTAGTTGCAATAAATATTTACATACGCGAAATAACTGGCACTCAGAGAGTCCGTGACACAAATAAATTGTATTCTTGTTCTCGGCGATGTTTCAATGGTTTTTGATTATAACGTTAATTTTATTCGTTTCGAATTTGTTTTCTCTTGATAACGCCCAATAAGATTAAAATAGTTGGATACGAGTTTTCAGTCTAAGCAACTTTCGACAATCAATGAAATTATTTATTTGGTCCTTACGACTAACAGGATAGAAACATGAATATATAATAATATTTATGAGTAGAAAAATGAAATCAAAAAGTGTCTACAACACCGGGGGTTCCCAAGTGGTCTGCCTCCCAAGTACTAACCCGGCCCGAAGCTGCTTAACTTCGGAGATCGGACGGGATCCAGTGCTTTCAGCTTGGTATGGTCGTAGACAAAAGGTCAGTTGATAAAACTCATTATAAAGCTGAGTTTGGTTAGGTTTCCGATCCGACAAATTTAATGGTGAAAATAACCCTTCTACTTGTGTCATTCTTTATCCATTCATTAATATATTTTGAAGACTTTACGATAAAATTTTAATTATGATCCATATGATGACAATTATTATAAAAATTACTATGAGAATTAAACAGATCAACTTGAAAATACGACGACGCGAGCAAGTGTCTTTATCAAAATGAGTTTCCATGATATCGTCCGATAATTGTATCTCAAAAACACCTCCTTGTATAGTAATATTAGGTTGTACAATAATATCAGCTCGTTTTGGAAGCTCTTTGCTTATAGATGTTGACAATTTAAGTTTATTGTCGTTCTTGATTTTATCAATGAAACGTTTAGCATGGCTCAGTTTAGAGACTTTCAATGCGACAAAATCTCTGTTCGACCTGAATGAATGTGAGAAAATAGATTTCTTAGCAAGTTTCCTGAACAAGTGAAGACGACGTTGGAAGTTTGTATAATTATTAGGAAACCCAGTAATGATTAAGTAAGCAGATTTCTGCGCTTTGAAAGGTAACGATAAGGTCGAGGTGACTGAGAAGCTTCGAGGCAATGAAAATGAATTCGGAATTAAAACTCGAAGTAAGCTCCATGTTTCAGTGCGAATTGTACTAACATTGTACTTCTTAAATTCATTAATGATATGACTGGGAGGGTATTGAACATATTTTACATCCAAAGGGTGATTGTGATAAGATTTATTCATTTTGGCATTAGCGACCAGTTTAGCTGATTCCTTGCTCGAGAAGCCAATCCAAATGCACTTTGTGTCGTTTTCATCGAGGTAGATACAATCCTTAATTGCTCCTTGATGTTCAAACATTGACTTTAAATCACTTTCAATTGTTGATACATAATTAACCTCGGGTGATAGGGTTACTTTGATTACGGCAAAGTCACAAGATTCAGTTACTAATCGTAAGTGTCCATCATTAAGCAAGTAAAGCTCATCAGCAATTACATCAAGAAAATCGTTATTGTGATTTTCACAATGGATTAAGTAAATTTTAGCTCCATACTTAATTTTACAACGAATTAAAGTTTTAACAAAATCTGAATCACCACTAATCAAGATGATGTTACACCCATCTCCATAAGATTTAATAAATTGCCTGATAGATTGAACCAAACAATAATCAGCAGCGTTAGGGGCATTTTCTACTGCTCTAATAGTAACTCCTGAAGATTTAATTTGATCCTCAATGGTTTCGGTCACTCTACCACGTACATATGTACAGATAAATTCCCTCTCTTTTAATCCTTTCGGCCGAATCAATTTGTCTCTAATCAATTTGATAAACTGATCAGCTGATTGACCACTTTGGACACTCACATTTTCAATGTCCCAATAAACACCACAATTAATGTTGATACTTGATGAAACATTGATTACAGTTGATTCAAATAGGATGAGACTTGTCATAGTAAATTTGTATAATTTATTTATTCACGCTATTCTAATTATAATTAATGGAAATTTCGTTCATTTAGTGAATTCAATTCTCATTTGATTGTGAATCTTGGAAAAAACAACCAATGCGATAACTATCAGATTATTTTAGCAAGTTGGTTACGCCAAAGTAGGTGTTTACTTAGGTACCCATTGATGATTCAGTGCAATTCCATTTCGATTCTTTAATTGGAAATATTGTTAAAAAGATTTTAATTATTTTCTTATACTTTGACAGAAACAATTAACCATTTCCCATAAAGTTACCAATGATATTTGACCGAATGCAAATTAGTGATTGTCTTTTATGTAGCTGTTAAAGTCACGAAGCTACTCTTTTTCTCAAGACTTTATCTGGAATACCCTGTACAATGAGACTTATCAAGACAAATATTGAGTATCGATTATCTAATCAACCACTGGTTGATTGATTTACCAGAAGATAATTTGAGCAACCCAATTATCAGCTAATAACAACTGATTATAAACAATAATATCATTTATACTGATACATTTATTATTGCATTAACTGTTGCAGATAAACAAATATTGAGAGAAATATTGATGTAGAAATTTTATCATTTGAAAATTCAGTTCAATTAATTTGTTATTGCTTCAGTCAATAAGCAACTCCGATAGAAATTTTTTCTCGATTATATAATAATCATAATCTTCGTGGCTCCTAATATTTTGTTCTTATCGCATTTGATAAGATTTGGATAATTTCTGCGAAAAAACTTTCATCTAATTGAATTGGAATCTTTTCCGGGATAGAAAATAATGTGGCTTTAAATTTAATCTCAGGGTGAATGTTTGATCGATTGAATGTCTCAATGATTTTTATCATTTCGTCGTCATCGTCGATTATATCGAAAGCAACTGAATCGTTATTTTGCCACATTATTCTAACTGATATACCCAAATATTTTTTGAAACAATTCTCGATCCCCGATCTTTCAAAACGATAACGAATACCAGAGACCAATACACAAGGCTTCATATTATCACATTTAAATGAAAATATTGGAATCTTTTCGACTCTCCATCCTTTTATATCACGTTCATGATCAATCGCCGACCGAATAATGTTCATCTTTCTGTTTCGAACTGATTTTTCCGCATCAAGTTCTGATAGTCTTTTAATTACATCTTCAGGTGGATTTTTATCATACTCAATCACGATCTTACCATTAAAAAGCTTAAGATTATTTTTGGTCTTCACGACTAATCGAGCCATCTCTTCACACTCAAAGTTAATCCAGTAGCAATTTCTATCACAATCAAAGTAAATCGCTTCTCTTGATCCTCCGACGTAACCAAAAGTTTCACCCAAAGTAGCTCTAACCATATTCTCATCTAAGTTATCAGGTATTCCGGTGATCTTAACAGCGACTACGTTCACACGATCAGTTATCGATACCAATCCATTTGGTGTAATCCTGTAAGTTTCATCAGCAATCGCGTCAAGTAAACAGGAAAATGAATCTTCCCTATGAACAGTATAAACTGTTATTTTATGTTCATCTTTATGTTTAACTAATCGTTTGATGAAATCGCCATCACCAGTAATTATCACGATGACACTTTTATCTTTGTAAATTGAAACGAACTCATCAATAAACTCAATCAATTTAAGATCCGCTGCATCACCACCTTTTTCAACACGTTCAATATCAATTGAGTTATCGACCAGAACGAAATTTTTTTCATCACCAATTGTACCTTTAGCAAAAACACAAGTAAACTTCACTTCACTCAACTGTTTAAAGTTAATTAAATCACGTCGAATGGAATCTATGAGTCTTTGTACTCCTTTTGGACCTTTAGCGTCGATATTTTCAATATCCCAGAAAATGGCAGTTGGTTTTTCGGCAAAAGGTTTTACCAATAAATCACTTTCCATGGTGATATTAGAAATAAATTACTTGTAAAAAACAATTGAAATGTAATCAACTCATACACAGCAATAATCTTTGAGACAGTTATCAATAACTTACTGATAGTTGCTCACTAATTCAATGATGAGTATTATCATGATTTACGGAAACTTTCATAAATCCAATTATCACATTATCTCTACTGTAGTCACAACCTTTCGTTGGATATCGGTAAAGTTTTTCTTAGTCAATTAAAACTTCAAAAACCAAATTCTATGCAAATCTTTATGTCGATTAATTAATAACGTTTATCATTAGTTTAATTGTTTGTTTTTAAGGTTAAATTTTAAAAAATCTTAATCAAAAGTCTTATGATGAAAATAATTAGGAGAATGAAGCAAATTAACTTGAAATAATGACAACAGTGGCAATTATCATGATCTAAATGAGTCGCAACAGGCTCAACGGTCGGTCTCCTGAAATAATACGTTGGCTCGGTGACAATTGTGTCTCGTGATTTTGGTGCTGATTTCACTGGTCGTTGAGGTGGTTTTCTTGTCACAGTTGTTGCAGTTGTTATAGTTGTTTGTTTCGGTAGTTCTTTGCTAATAGTCACCGACAATTTAAGTCCATTGTGATTAGAGTTGTTGATTTTATCGGTGAAATGCTTCGCCTGGTAAGCGTGATGAACTTCTAATGAGACATAATCTCCAGCCGACGAAAATGATCTGTATGATTTACCAAGTATTGCACTCAAGTGATGACGACGTTGTAATTGAGAGTAGCTATTAGGGAACCCGGTGACAATTAAGTAAGCGATTGATTTTGATTTAAAAGGTAATGATAAGGTCGAGATGATTGAGGAGCTTCGAGCCAATGAAAATGAATTCGGGGTTAGAATTCGAAGTATATTAAATGTCTCCTCTCGAACTGTACTAACATTATATTTCTGCAGTTTATTAATAATAAAACTCGGAGGATATTGAACATATCTAACATCCAAAGGGTGATTGTGATAAGGTTGATTCGATTTGTCATGAGCAACGTTTTTAGCTAATTCTTTGCTGGGAAATCCAATCCAAACGCCGATTCCAGGGCACTTAGGGTCATTTTCATCCAGATAGATACAATCCTTAATTGCTCCTTGATGTTCAAACATTGACTTTAAATCACTTTCAATTGTTGACACATAATTAACTTCGGGTGATAAGGTTACTTTGATTACGGCAAAGTCACAAGATCCAGTTACTAATCGTAAGTGTCCATCGTTGATTAAGTAAAGCTCATCAGCAATTACATCAAGTAAATCACTTCGTTGATTCTTACAATGAATTAGATAAATTTTGATTTTATAATGGATCTGGAATCGGACCAGAGTTTTAACAAAATCTGTATCACCACTAATCAAGATGATGTTACAACCAAATCCATGAAGTTTAACAAATCGTCTGATGTATTGAATTAACCTTAAATCAGCAGCATTTGGATGATCATTAACATAATCAATTGTAACTCCCAAAGATTTAATTTGACCCTCAATGGTTTCGGTCACTCTACCACGTACATAAGCACAGATAAATTCAATCTCTTTTAATCCTTTCGGCCGAATCACTTTGTCTCTAATCAAGGACCGTGGTAAAAGACAAAAAGACGAAAAGAAGCAAAAAAAGGCAAAAAAGAGCAAAAAAGGGCCAAAATTCTCCACAATCAAGTAGAATTGAAGTGAAAGGGCCTCAGGACATTTTATTCTGAATTTTTGACGAAATATTGACAATAATAACACTTAAACAAAACAATAATCACCAAAATCTCAAAATAATTCAATTTTTCTGATTTTTGATGCGCGAAGTTTGAACGTCAATTTATGAATACTTTTTTATTCAATTTCAACTAAAAATCTAATTTTTTATCGATAATTTGACCACATATACTGACCTGAGTTCATCTTTAAATCGTAAAAATTAAATATAAGTAAAAAGAATTGAATTTAAAAAGTGTTTTTGTCTTTTAGCTCTTTTTTGCTTCTTTTTGCCTTTTTGCCTTTTTTTGCCTTTTACTACGGTCCTCTAATCAATTTGATAAACTGATCAGCTGATTGACCACATTGGACACTCACATTTTCAATATCCCAATAAACACCACAATTAATGTTGATACTTGATGAAATGTTGATTAAAGTTGATTGTTGATCGAGTGGAGATCTAAATCCCGATGATCTTGTCATGGTTGTTAAACTTAATTAAAACTAATTGAACGATCACAAAATTTAACTTTTAATTAGTTTTCGGACAAAAATAAGTTAACTGTCATTTGAGTCAATCAATCAAATTCAAATGTTTTTAAAAAGTGTTATTTTTAAGGCGGTCAATTTAAATATCTTACTTTTTGTTATTATTAGGGCGGTTAAACATGGCCGCGTTTCAATGGATTGTGGTCACTTCGGAAACTTAATTTCCATTGCAAACGAATCAGCTCACTTACTAGAAAATGAAGTTTGAACAAAATCCAATATGGCGGTCAATTTTGAGACCAAAAAAGTCAATTATTACCCTTTTTCTTAATGGAAATTTACCATGGAAACCATCTTGGATCATCTTCCATTAATCAAGACTTTGAAATGGCTACTTGAGGTAATGTTAACATGTAATTATATTACTGAGGCTGCAGAATATGATTGATACATTAACCATTAAATATCTTGTTGTGGTTATCCCAAGATGGGTGTTTGCAAACCACAATTACAGTGCGATACCGGCAACTCTGATTCTTTAATTAAAATGATTGTTGAAAGGAGTTTAATTGTTTTCTAATCGTTGGTTAGAAACACTTGACAATTCCCTATAGCGTCGCCCATTGATCTACTTTTAGATTGCATTAAAAGTAAATCAATTGGGTCTCATTATTTTACCCATGAATTGGCATTTAGTTAGAAATTGGTATTGTTCATTTCATGAAGAACAAGTTTTGCTGAGTAAATGTTTTTTCAATCATCAATAGAATTGAATTTACCAAATCCAAGTGAAAAGTCAAAAGCGATAATTTTGTGCCGCCAAATTTATCTATCGCAAACTTTTATTAACTTTGAGTTGAATGTTATTGTAATCATAATCAGTTGATTTTATGAAGTTTCTCTTCGAAATTTAGAGAATTTTAATTTAGGCAATGTTAACATTAAACGGTTAATTTTTAGTCGAGAGAAAATTCTGGGAAGAACAATCAATTCGATAACTACCAGATTATCTCATTGAGTTGATTATGATTGCAGAGGTTTTAGTTATGCAAAAGTAGGTATTTACCTAGATACCAATTGATAATTCAGTGCAATTTCACTGCGATCCTTTAATTAGCAAGATTGTTAAAAGGGGTTCAACTCTTTTCTAATTATTGAATAGAAACAATTAACCATTGTCCATAAAGCTACCAACTCTTTGATATAACAATGATAGTTACTCACTTGAGTTCGTCGTTTCCGTCTTCACTTCATTCATCTATTTATAAATGAAGTTTTGGTTTATCTCGAACCTTAATAGTATGTACTTTCTTGAGTGGGATTTGTTGAATGAACTGAAATTTACTTTCAAGCTGAATGCAAAATTTTAAAGAAAAAAAGCAAATTTCAGATGATCAAAATAATTTTACTAACCATTTGGTGGAATTATCGTTAATGTAATTACATAACTGAACAATCCAATTGTTAACAGATATTAATCAGGAAAAGATATTTCATTTTAATTTTGTGGTTTAAATTTGATGAGAAAAACTTCAAATAGAAATAAGATAATTGCAAGAATACAAAGTGATAGGTAAAGATACATTAGATCAGTGAAATTAGAAAAAGTGATTGGACTGTATGACCCTTCAGGTTGAGCACCTAATTCCTCATAACGCCAACACATTGGAAAGAGAATTCTCTCTCTTCTTGCAGCGTCTTGAGTTTCGAACATTTTTTCAAAACCAACGGTCCAAAGCTTTTGTTCAAAACCAGAATAAGAAGCTCTGATAATCTTTCGTTTCTTGTTACCATCGATATTTTTATGGAAAAATAATGCAGCTAATCTTTCAAAATATCGACCCGAACCAACATGATATAAAAAATTACTTTTTTGATTTTTCGGGAGATTATAAGTAATAATAAAATGCAGTTTACAATAAAATCTCAACAGATTCACAACGTTAACGTCTTTTTGAAAGGACGAAACAATTGACTTATTGAACGTTTCATAGGTATATTCATCGAGTGCTTGAAAGCTTATGGGATATAGTGGGGCTTTTAAGCCAACAGATTCGTTTACAAAGCGATAACAACTCTCTTTGTGTGCTGAACAATTAATGTCTTTTCGAGAAGTTAAATCAGACCACGTATTCAATGGTGCTGGACGTGAAGCTATCGAATACTGTGTAGTAAACGATGCAGAAAATAAATGTAATATGTAATGAACTGAGAAAGAGAAGGTTAGAAATATGAATAAGCCAAATTTACCTTTGATGTTTGCCAAAAGAAACTTTATGATCGAAGGTCGATAAATGGTAGACTCATCACTTCCGATATCTGATCGAGCAAAATATATTATCAAAGCGAACACCGTTAAAAGGGTGGTGAAGATGCAAACGGAATAATCGACTATCTCAAGTGAAGATAATATTCCTTTGTTAATTACATCAGTTGACGAGTTTGGGTATATATTCCAAAAGATACAACTGACTCCTCCAACTATTGGCCCGACGGATACATTGACTTCTGTGCCATCCAGAAAAGATAAAGATCCATCCGGAAAAATCATATCCACTTTACCTGATTTGAGGAGCGAAATATCATCGTGCTCATCATCTGAGTTAACAAATAGCTTGGGAATATTATCTATATGTAGTATATTTTTGACGATAAATTCCTGAAGGTTGGGCGAAAACGTTGATAGAACTTTCAAAATACTTTGAGAATTATTCATTACGTATCACAATAAGAAAAAATCAACTAAAATTTCATATCAAGAATTTTAACTAAGTACGTCGAGTATAAAAAAACAACCGATTTTAAGTTTATCATCTAAATCGATATTCCGAATCGACCAGCTATTAATCTTTATGACTTTTTGGTGCCAATATAATAATATAACCATCAAATCTTGACGCTTCCTTTATATTAATAGAAAATGAAACAAAGTTATTAAATTAAGAGTTTAGTAAAAAGATTCAATATGAAAATGACATCAAGAATAGATTAGAATAGTAAAGCCAATAGACACAAAACACGAAATGACTTTTTCTTCAATAACCATTATTATCCACTAAGAATAATCAAATTATTTAATTTTTTTGATAGAATATTAGTTGGAATTGGTTGTGAAAAATTGATCGACTTGGAACTATCGATCTCCAATCGAGCTTAAATTTCTCATAGACATTGAAAATTCAAAGATAATAAGTCCAGATAATTGGTAGGGTATTGAACATTTTATACGCGTGTAGTGCATAATCGTGTACTAAATAAAATTTTAAGGGGAAATTGAAATGGTCGGCTTTTCGTACTTGAGGTCAGTTTATACATCGTACATTAGAATATAAAAATTTTCATGTTAATTGTTCAATGTTAATTGTCGTGTTAAGAAAAGATGGAAAGTGAAACCGTTTAGCAGTTGATTGTTTTGATGTTTTTCGAGTAAATTGATTAGTGATCAACTTTGAGCACAACCTTCATTATTTGAACTCGAACCGGCAACTCGACTTGAGTTCATTGAGCTTCGCGGAAAATCGTCATCTGAGTCCGTCGAATTGGCGACTTTTTGTTTATCCATAATTAAAGTTCCGTGTAACGTTTTGATTAGTTTTTGTTTACTTACAGTGTTTCCCGATTGAAGAAACCAAACTTTCAAATGAAGAAACCAAAATGATTTTTATTGATATTTAATTGTGATTAATTAATTAATTTCGATTCAAAATTGAATTTAAATCAAATCTACAATCACAATTAATGTGAAACTCAATTTTTAGACCGATTTTCGACAAAAATTAATTAATGAAAAATGAAGGTCCAAAATCTCAACCAATTGGTATACGAGTAAAAGCATTGGGGTTTCTTCAAATGAAAAAAAGGTTTACTCATTTGAAAGTTTGGTTTCTTCAATCGGGAAACACTGTAATTTTGCGCAAACAATTAAATTGATTACTTCAGGCGGAGGTTTCTCGATACTTGTACTGATCTCAAATGGAAAGAAATTGTAAATGTAAAGTCCTTCAAGATTAAGCGCGAATCTGGCATCGGAAATCTCATCAAATAAAGACCAAATTTTACCGTTTGAAATGATCGCATATGAACATCGATAATAAGCTAGATCATTTCGAACTACTGATACCTTGGGCGGAAAATTAATGGAACAAGTTATTTTAGGAAGATTTTACTTTAATTCCAGGAAAAAGCGCTCAGAACTTTGAGCACAGGCCAAACTCGAACTTGAACTCAAGTTGCAGTTGAAGATCCATTCGAGTCTTGACTCGGCGCTAAAGCTGAATAAACAGCGCTTATATGATTCGACCAAAGTATTTATACGAAACAGATTCGGTGAACTTAATCGAACCATCATCTCCATAGATCTCATCAAGTGAATCTCGTTTCATGAGAAACACGATCAACAATTTCCTTGATTCTCTCACTTAAACGATCATTATAACGAATAAGATGTATTTAGTTCTCCGATTTATTTTAACCGTTCTCAATGTATTCGCAAGACTATCGAGCCAATAAGATTATCGTAGATCCATAAGGTTGACTATTGAAACTTTCGATTCGCTGTCGCATCAGTGAGTCCAAATTCACCTCTGGTCCAACATCTTGGAATCGAGCACCTTGTGATATGAGTTGATCAATATTCCTCTTTGATAGATTATAAGAACCGATAACATGAAAATCTTTGATACAAAGATCATATTTATCGATTATATTTGATCGTATTCAGTGAAAACAGAATCAGCTGATGATCCCTCGGAACGAAAACATTTTGAATATCCCAAAGAGACCACAAGGATTGGACATAATTAACGACCAGAATAAGACACAATCAAAGGCAAACAATTAACTACCTGATGAGAAAATACTAACAGTAAATTACCCAAGCAGCTCTGGTGTTAGTTTATTCAATGGAAGAGGGAAAATTAAACAATTAATCATCTTCTCAAAGCCAATCAATTAACACCGAAAAAAAAAATTTCTCGATCTTCAATCAATTATCTTAATTTTCTGTTCGTATCATTATGAAATCTAATTTTCCATTTCATTCACAATAAAATCTCAATTTACAAACGCAAGTTAGTCATCAGGTTGTACTATAATTAAT